GTTAACGGTAAGTATGATGCGCAATTTGAAATAGACTGAAAGTGGGATAATTTTTCCTGAATTATTGGATCAAGTTGCTCAGAAATAGTACACATTAATCAGTGTTTGACAGTTACAGCTATTACTATAGGCTAAATTGTACTATAGACTGTTTAACAATTTATTAAATTAAATATAATCTAAATTCCAGGGCGTTTTGAATTATTGTTATTGTTTTGAATTATTTGTTGTTAATTTGTGCGCCCAGTACATTTTCTAAAACTAATTAAATGTATCCTATTATTTTGCAGTTTTCAAAAAAAAAAAATTTAAATTTATATCCTTTTAATTTGTGCTGTAACTTTTTAGCACGGAAATCATTTTTATCAAAAAAAACGACATCTCTTAAATGCAATTTTGTTATTTTAAAAAAAACGTACCAGTAAATTTCATGTGGCAAGAAAAACAATGCATACAGATACAAAAAAAACAAAAAACAATGCATATAAATTTCCTCAGTCAATGTGGATAGAATTAAAAATGATTGTTCTCTGTTTTAAGGACTTTAGCACCACATTGTTGAAAGGTTAAGAAGTTAATCGCTATTATATATAAATGCCATGAGAATACTGATGCATAAATTCATGTTTGATTGGATAACTGCTTGACACTGTATCAGTACAAGCACGGCAGAACGATGAAGCACTCAGTTGCATAATTATTGACTGCATCTTCATAATAATCCAACAATGAACTTGCATTATATTTAAAAAAAACAAGAATAACTTGTCAGAACGACACTTGATAAATGCTTAAAATTCTCATCTTGTCTACTGAACAAAAACATCTCTTAAGATGTCAAACTTTTTTTGCTGGCATTATAAGGCTGTTATCACTCTGAATTACCTTACAAAAATGTACATGTATAATTATTGTGTAAAGTATGCATGTAGCCTGACAAGGTTGCAAGGGTTGCGCCCTCTGTGGTGCTTCAAACCCAGCACACGCCTGACAAAACAATGTAGCTTTTCACTTTCCACAGTGATTTGTTGTCCGTACCAATCAAATTGCAGGAACATCAGATAGTGACAGCCATTAAAGAGTAACCATTCACGGCAGAGTTTATGTTTGTTGACATACATGTAATGATAAGATGCTAGCAAATTTCCACCCAATGTTTATCATCTTGATGATTTTTGCCAACAATGCAAACACGGCTTTGATTGATGGTGTTACCATGACCACCAAAATGAATATTCATTCTTGAAATTGCAAGAAGACGTGAACTTTGCAAAATCGCAGTATTGATCTTGCCTACAAGATATACACTATTCTGTCAAGCGTTAGTGGGGTCTCCTTCGGCTGGCAATTGCACCACTCACACTTACATGTCAGGCTAGTATGCACGTGGCAGTCAATATACGATAGCATTACTGCCGTTGTGCAAGCTTTGCGATATCTGATAATAACCTCATAGAATTGCATGTACAGTACCTGAAATCCTGATTCTAATAGAAAGATACCAAGTGCTATAACAGCATCTTGCTTTCGTTGATCTAGAACATAAAATCCCTTTGAATTCGGTCGTGGACATAGCGCCATCAAACGACTCACCTGTAGAGAGAAAGAGACATCATTAAATCCGTACTAAAATGATATATACATTGTACAATGTAGGATTCAAAACAGTCAGTTCTCAATGCCCACCTGAATTAACCTGTCATAATAAACAAAACTGCAATGAAATGCTATATGAAAGTTACAAATTAGAACCAGATTTAATGTTCAAGTACGAAAAAAATCAGTCTAAGGATGAGATTCTATTCTGGAATGGCAGATACATGTATGTATGTTTGATTAAAATTACTTTTCAGTACTAAAATTGAATTGCATTGCTTAACAAGTGCATATGCAAATGTGCGAAATAACTATATTTACAGACTGTTTTCTGTAAATTTTCTACTGTAATAAAATAGTGCTGTTATTTTCAGGTTCGTGTTTGTGGCTATCGTCACTGCCATTGTAGATACAAATATAAACAGGGACATTCATGGGTTTAGTTGTCATCATCGATCTTATGTCTCCTGAAATAAGTGTGGCAGACTAAACAAACATTGAAGAAGAAATGTTATTTTCCGTGCGATGAAAAGTTGTTTCATGGAAAGTGATGTTCGAAAGTCAGAGATATTTCTAATTGTTAATGCTAATTGGGTGCATAAGCCAAACACGGCTGTCATCCGGATATCATATTACACCCTCTAGTGGTGTTCTGGCAAAACCAAACAACTTGAAACTCAGGAATTGCTAGTTTATTTACCCTGAATTACTAGTAACCATAGTTTGAGTGAATTATTCAGCTAAATGTTACATCAAGTTACAAAAATGTAGGACAATGTTTTATCCATTATTTTAATTTTCAGACAATATCTATGAATAGTGAATTTCAAACAATACAAAGATGTTATCCTCTTATCAACCTTATTATTATTCCAACCAATTGGTGTCTGATGCACAGGACTGGGAAAGGTGGAAAAAATAGTGAAACTTATTTGACATGAACTGTTTTCAAACATAACCACCATCTTGGAAATATCATGTAATCATTCCATATTTGGAATCCACATTTCCTTATAATGAACTCTGTGCAATACCACAAAATTCCAACATGCTGTAACTCATGAAACAAGCGGAACACTTTTCTTGGACTAATAACAAAGCTGGTCAATCCTTTCCCAGCAAAAAATATTGACACATGTACATGTAGTAAACATTATATAATAACATGTCTTCTCAAATACTATAAAATCATCTATACCTATCAGCAAAAATTAAGCAGTTTACAGAATTTTCCATGCAGAGCACATGATATTTCTTTAAAAACAGGAAGTGGTTTCACAGACAGACTTTAATTAGTGTATTTGTAACATAAATATTATAACACACATATAGACCCTCCTTTCTAAAGTGAATAATCACTCCACTCGCCTATCACTCACCCAAATCAAGACCCAGAAGACTTATCACCCCTTCAATTTATACCATTTGTATACTAGTAGAGATTTTAATAGCATACATGTAGCTCTACTAATTACTCATGTTACTGTGTTCAGAATCAGGAGAGCTATATTTAACTCCTGAGGAAAAAAGGGAAGAAGTGAACACACATGGAAGTTGAGCTAACCATTCATTTCAAGACATGAAAGCACAACTACATGCAGCTTTCAAAGACAGACAGAATAATAATGTTCAGTACATGCAGATGCTTATACATGTACATAAATAATGATTTGAAAAAGTGATTAACTTTATTAAGCAGTCAGTACAGGTTAATGCAATGTGATTACCGTAGACTGTGATCAAAGACTGACAATTGAGGTTGTAATGAAGTGTGAATAATCAACACAGGATTGTTGTGGCTACAGTGACTGCACCACAGGACAGCAAAAACAGACGTCATCTGTCAATCTGAGAACATTTCCTTAACAGCAGCACCAACTGATTCAAGACTATACATGTTTATAATCCTATTAAAATATTGATGTTTGTTGCCATTGGGTGACAAATGTCTGTTAATTAGTACATGCCATGATGAACACAACCACAGCTCGGCTGGTAATTAAATATTTGAGGAACACAGTAGAGAGCAATCTTTATATTGATCTTTTCATTATCCATCAATTTGGCAACACTTTAGAAAATCACTATTGACTTTAGTCATAACATCAAGACAGGAAAAGTAAAATGAAAAACAAATATGAAAGAAAACCTAGTGACATTTTAGCAAAAACTTTTTATATGTAATTGATGTTCAAAATTTATGCAAACATATTACAATACTCTTAACAATTATTTACATAAGACATGGTAAACATTTTTGTAGTGGTTATAAACAACACAACAGTGCATACATGTAGAACTATTCCATTTATTTTCTTCGTACTGTGACTGAGCAACCAATTAAATGGCTTCTTATAAGCAACCAATTAGATTTGCCTTTTAAACCTCCAAAGCCTGTAGTAAATTACCACACATGTTTCTTGCGTATTAAGTGTTATTGATATTGTAGCATACTCCTTACATTATGTATGGGAGTTGACGATTGAATAGAGCATTAAATAATGAAATGGTTAATACATGTTATGATGTACAGTAATAACTAAGTTTATGAAATGTGTTTTTTAAAACTACATTGCAGAGATACATGCAGCGTATATTTACTCATTTTCACTTAAGCATTTGACCCAAACACTGTACCGGTCATGCAAATATTGCACTTCTACAATGAGAAAATACATGTCACTGCATTTTTGTTATTCATACCACTGCAGTGCAAATACCGGATCTATTTATGTTATGCCCGTTGCAAAACAAAATAGCATGCATCAGTAATCCACTACATGTACATGTAGGAGTGATGCAAATACCAAATCTGAACCAAATACCAAATAATTTGAACATAAACATGTCAGAGATATGGAACCAGAAGCTGATACTTGATTATGATTTTAAATCATTAAAATGATTGACATTCACTCATCTTGATCTGATCGTCAAACGAGTACTTGTCCATATTGAGAGATACTGCTCTGGCATTAATTAAAACAAAATGCCCACCGGTAGACCATTTTGAAACAGATCGTCAAACCAATAGATCTGTATATCAATAACATGTGCATAATGAATATATAAAATCTGAACATCAGTCAAAGCATGTCATGGCTCTTCAACTGCATTCATTAAAACAATATGGCAGCAAGTCAGCTATTTTGAATCCAATCTGAAAAACAAAATGACGTGCATCAGGGACCCATAATGTCCAATGTATGTACCATGTTTGAATGAAATCCATCCATAAACGACTGAGATCTGGTTCCAAAATGCCAGAAATGTTTGATTTTTGATGATTTTTATAGCACAAAAATGGCCACCATTATGTTATTTTGAGTCAAATCGTCAAACCAATAGATCTGCATATCTATTACATGATGTATATTGAATATATGAAATTTGAACATATCAGGCAAAGCATGTCAGAAATATGGCTCGAGAACCGCATTCATTAAAACAAAATGGCAATTGTTTTCTTATGTTATGAGTTGGAAAAACAGATGAACTTGTACTGCAACTCTGCTCGTTTGGAACATTCCAAAACTGTCCTACCTTTCAGTTTGTTGACCTCAAGTCATGCAATATGCGCAGGTGCATAAACATGCAAACACAATCCATTTCGGAATCAGGAATTGGAAAGCATACATTGAACATGTAAGCAAACCACAATTTTAAAAACATCAATTAAATTTATTTTGACTGTTGTCCATAATAATGGATTTACTAAGGTACAAACCAAGTATCACTTTGTTAACACTTTTGCCATGTTTTATGAAATATATCGATATGATGTTCAAAAAACAGGAAATTGTATCCACTTGGTCCAAAATTAACAACAAAATTTGTAGAAAAATACATAAAAATGGTGGATGAATATGGTACATGTATACAGAAAATCATTGAAAGCATGCAGTCTAACACAGTGAATGACAACACTGACTATAAAACATTTTGTGTCAATTACTTCACATATGACACTTGTACAATGCATAGTATTAAACCTTTTTGAAAAGGACAAAAGGTAATGTAAACTGCTGTAATTTGGCAAGAAACAAATTATTATATAATACATGTAGCAGTGAAAATGTGTTTGCTGTTGTAAGATACAGTATCAGTTACTTTTGCAAAATGTCTTGAAATAACAAAAATTAAACGGTTTACAGTATACAGAATGTAAGAATCAATAATAATAACATAAAAAATTATAAAATTCTTCTTTTTATACATGTATGCAAAATGATGTTGTGAGGCGTTTCCCACAGGGTTCATCATACATTGGGAAGTCAAAAAACAACAGCATGCAAATAGTGCAGAGCTACTCAGGAAATATTAAATTTGATGTACATGAAGGGATCAAAATCAGCTGATTCATGTTTTTGAGGAAAGGAAGCAGGAAATTATCTGCATAAATAAATAATTCTTAATTTATCTATTTTTTTTTTATTACTCTCATAACCCTGGGTAATCTCCTTGAACTGACAGTATGAATTGCATTTGAATTCACAATTATGACACGATACCCAATCAGCAACAGTTATGCAAGAGATGGCAGATTAATGGCATGACCTCAGTGCCACTCATAATTCATAAATCTGTCAAAAATGCACGTAAAGTACACTAATATTGAACAAAAAATTGTGACTATCACAATTTTGTTTTAAATAAATGAATATATTTATTGAAGAGGAGAAATGTGTAAATATATCACAGTATGTATAGCTCTTTGAAATGAAAGTCAAATTTATCATTTGTTCTAAGTGTTAAGAAGTGTCTACACGGATACATTGTAACACCGTAACTAGAGGCCCACCAAGTATGATTATGCAGATTAGCTGATTAATATGCATGTAGTATTGGTGACCACTATATACAATGTAGTGTTTAAATAAATGAATATGTCATTAATGGTTTAATGTATTTCCTCGTTTTGTGCATTTTTATTCATATATTTTGGTTTATATTGAATAGGATGCAGCATACAGCTACATTTGTATATGTATATTATACGTTGCCTTGGAATTGAATGTTCTATTTATAGCCTTTAACTACAGGTAATAGTGATTGTAACTGAATTGTGAAACTTGTGAAATCCCACTTGGTACAAAGTGGCTATTGTATATATCATTGAAAGTGTTGATTTCTTTCTCCAGTGATGTATATAGGACCCTGGGAATTGTCAAATTGCTATCAAGCCACCATAGGTGACAGCTGTTTTACCTGCACTGTCATAATAATAGAGTTATAATAATTTAATTAACACATGACATTCCCTGGAGGTGCTGAAAAAGATTTAAAAAAAAACTAACAAATAGAAAAAAAAAATATGATGACACAAAGATATTCAAATAGAATAAAAAAAGTAAAAACAGAATGTGTAATAATTTCACTCCTAGCCTGTGTGGATATAACGTACTGATAAGCTGGAATTTATTTTCACTGAAAAGACTTTTTGGCCATTTTGTATGGAATTTATTTTCACTGATTTTTAAGGATACCGGTTAGCATAAAATAGGAAAACAAGCCATGCATGACACAGTCCCCGTTTGTTATCAAATTTAAGATCTATAGTTTTGTTTATAGTGATATAGCTGGAATATAACCATGTCAGGAATATGATTTTTTTAACATTAAAATGATTGACATTTGCATCTGATCGTCAAACAAGCAGGGTTCTTCCTAGGGCTTTTTAGCGCCGAGGTCCGCGGCGCTATACTTGTGAATCTCTGCGCTTTACTTGGGACCTCGCGCTAAGTGTTCCGACCTCGGTGCTTGATTTCATATTTGACATGCCAATATCAGATGTGCAAAAGCTTTGTTCGCCACGCTGGTCGGCCCCGACTGTCACTCAAAATTAGTGACCACCACGGAAATGCTTCCGACCAGAACTATTGTCCGATTGTTATTATGTACCGACCGGCACGCATCCTGCCAATCGTGGATTATAATTTGTAAACAATAGATTAGTCGCACGATACGTAACGGCTAGTCAAATTTGTGAAATTAGCATCTCTTTGTTTGTAAGTGAATACTTTCTGCCATAGACACAGTTTTTAGATTGAAAGCTACGGTAAAATTCTTTCAAAATCAATTCCACCTCGATATAACATAGTCAAAGCAGGGTTCACAATCAAGAAAAAAAACGTGTTTATTGCATGATTTGGTAAAATACATTTGAACTGTTATCACCGCGAATCATGTGAAAAACTCTTCTTTCAAGACCCATTATACCTTTTAAAAATTGCTAATCACCTCTTTCGAAAACGATCATGCAATTTTCAATTAAAATCGATGCCAACACATCATGCTACGACAATGTAATTGTTATGATCACTACCATTCTGAAAACTTCGGATTCTACCAGCATTACTATGCAGCATTTTGATTGGTTGACCATCGGGTCAAAGGACACACGCTAATGTTTCACAAACATCATGGCACAAACCAATATATCTGTATATCTATGACATCATGCATAATGCATATTAAAAATTTGAACATAATCAGTCAAAACAAGTCAGACATATGGGTCTGGAAACCCATTCATTAAAACAAAATGGCCGCCAGACAGCCATTTTGAATCTGATCTGAAAAATAAAATGACGTGCATCAGGAACCCGTAATGTCTAATGTATGTACCAAAATGATGTGCATCAAGGTCCTATAATGTCCAACGTTTATACAAGGTTTGAACAAAATCCATCTGTAAACAGCCGGGAAATGCTTGATTTTGATGATTTTTTAGCACAAAAATGGCCACCATTCGGCCAATTTTAATAGGATCGTAAAACCAATATATCTGTATATCTATGACATGATCTATAATGAATATTCAAAATTTTAACATAATCAGTCAAAACAAGTCAAAGATATGGCACGAGAACCACATTCATCAAAATAAAATGGCCATTTTGAATGTTATCTGAAAAACAAAATGATGTGCACCAAGGTCCTATAATGTGTAACGTATATACCAATTTTGAACAAAATCCATCTATAAACAGCCGAAAAATGCTTGATTTTTAGCACAAAAATGGCCGCCATTCGGCCATCTTGAATCAGATCGTGGAACAAATTGACGTGCATATGTATAATATCATGTATAATGTATGTGTGAAGTTTGATTGTGATTGGTCCAGGCATTTCTAAGATACAGGTCAAAACACAAGTCTCTGTCCGAACGGGGACTAAAAAGGTATATTCACTGGATTTTATTTTCACTGAATCATTCAGCAAAAATTGCAAAAATAAAGTATTTTACAGTACACATGTACAAATGTACCTTATCTTGTCCAAGATTTTAATTAATAGAGCATTGCAAATATAGTAAACGTATAACATGAATTATACACGTATATGTTGAATACATTAGAAAGTATAAATAGTATCTGACCCTCATGTAATTCAATTTCTTTGTAAATATCACTAAACAATATTTTTATAGCATGATACACACAAATGGAAATGCAATATTTTATTCCAGATCCAAATATAACCTAGTAACATAACAGAACATACATTACAATGGTCAGATTACCATCTCACTTTAAAGACATGATATACAGAATCTATTTATACATTACCCAGTGTTATCCACACAAATTTAAACCAATGTGGCAGTGAAAATTTACATACTAAAGTTGGATAACATTTCCATATTATTTTTATAACTACAAGTATTCCAAACCTACTTATTTACACAATGCATGAAATTGCTTCACGAATATTACAACTACACACAAGTTTTCTGTTTTCAGCAACTTATCAATTTCATTTAAAATGTCAGAAACGACACATTGGAAATGACACTGTGAAAGTCAGAATAATGACTATGGCAGAATTACTATTATACATGTACATGTGAACCTATAACAACTGATGTATTCCAAGATCATGTACAGGTTCGTACAGACTGCCATGAATGGTCAAAATTAGCGAAACCATGCAAATCGGTCAATGGTAACAATTATCATGAGAGCCATACATGTGAGCACCAGAAGCCTTTTGCATTGATAAAAAATACATACAATACCATGACAGGTTTTATCACTAAAAGATAACAACATCCATAAAAATGTAGGTTAATGATAAAACAGTAATGTATCAATGGATGTAAAAGAATTAAAACCCTGCAGCAGAACAAGGTCTTTTATTTGTTGAAATCCCATATGCACAAACAAATGTTCATACACTGCTGGCAGATAAGGAGCTTTAGTGAACAGCACCTGGGTACATGTATATGTTTAAATATACCTTGAATACTAGTATTATTTGTACCAATACACAACACCCACACATACAACTGTGCTACAAACATAATGCACAGCACAGCTAGCATTACATTTACCATAATTATTTGTTTAATAAACTGATGATTTAATGTAAGAAATGTTACGTTATGGTCAGTAGATTCCTGTATATATTGTACTACCAATAAAATGCAACTGGATTTAACAACAAATATTCATGAATGCAGATGAGATATGACAAGTGTTACATGTTTTACAATGTAACATACACCCCTTGATAGAGCACACATTGTACATAATTTCTATTCACACCAGAGATACAATGTAGACACAGCACAGTCAGGTAATGGATTAATTTTGCAAATAAATTAACACACTGACAGCCGCACACATTTAGCCATCAATGTCTTATTGAACTGATTGCATAGTACAAAGCAATTAATTGGTTCAATCAATGCGAGAACAGTTATATGCATGTAACTGTCAATATGATTTATGATTGATATGGGACAAAAATGGCAGTGTATGAATTTTCAACATTAAAATATGGCATTTAATTTAAATTAACTATATAATTACACTACAGTGAAACAACAAACCATAAAAGGCCGATTAGAATAACTCTCACTATTAGTGTTAATCAAAATAAATTCACAAATGCCTCAGCACTATCAAAGGGGAACAAGAGACCTTTGACATGTGCCTATACTCAGAAAAAAGGGAAATTGTTCTAAACATAATCTAATACGAGTATTTCCTTGATTTTAATAAAAATATGACATTACATTAAAACACAGTCATTAAATTAAATAATATTTTATATTGTCATGAGAAAAATTAAATCATAATTTACACAGCAGCCTGTGCCAGTCATTTTGTTTGGAATGGGTTTAATTTTGGGTGGTGGCCAGTTGTGTGGTGGTCAATGTGTATGAACACTGGAATTACGCTGCAGCTAGCAAGGAATTGAAAGGAAGATAATATTTGCCCCGACCGTGTAAATGTTGTGCCCTGCACCATAATACAGTTCACCTAAACGATGTTCGGTATAGATATGTGGTTATACAATACACAATATCGCATTAGGACTATAAACTAATACACGCGTAAGAAGTCAATAGAAATAGTATACATATATAAGGGAGGGCCTGACAACCTGGACTGTTACCGGCAGGCAGCGATCTCCAGTAATGGCAATATTATTATCGGTCCGACCGTAGGAAAACAAATGCTGATAAGCGTTCACGAAACAAGGAAAAAACCAGTGATGACTTGGGCATATAGCAAATCACCAAATACTGAATCTCAGATGGTGCAAACATACCTTGTCCCATGATGGAGGTGTTGCATTAGCTAGTGACCGAGCGAGATTCAATAGCGTCGAAGAGAAAAATCTTTTCTCCTCCGACCGCCATGATGGATTGCAAATGACTACGTGGGAGCTTTGAAATAATCAGTATGGCCGCGTTATGTCCACGGATTTTTTTTTTCAAATACTTAATTATTATTAAATAAATTTACTCCAAATATTCTGATATAATGCTGAAGTATCTGTAATTGTATGCGTCTACGAACAAAATAAAAAATAAAACAACCAAAAAGCTAGTCACTAACAAATTACAGATAATCTAGGGAGTTCAAAACATTCTCAGGTCATTCAACGGAAGTGATGAGTGGAGACCAGAAGACGAGAAAGTTGTCCGATTCATTGTTGAATTGTATGAAACTGGTTGATCTGACAAGACCATCACTAGAAGGACGGGTTTAAATTAAGAAGAAATTAAACAACTCAGGTAAATTTGAATGTGTAATTCATCCTATGAACGATTATCAATATGGTTGAAGGCGAGTTTGAAAATAAGAGCTTCAAGATATCAATTTTGTATTTTTGAGAGATGGCCAGAGATGCGACATAAAAGAACAGGTTGATGGAATGATGCCAAGGTCGTGAAATTTTAGCTAGAAAGGATTGAATGACTCGTGGATACCTATTTCATCACCATCTAATACACTTGCTAGAGAAGAAAACTGCCAGAGTTTGATAATGTTAAGTAGATTCTTCAAAGATTTTCCTCATTCAGACAGGATGTGACTATTGGGCTTTTGAAAACTCACATACATTTTTGTACACGTATGAAGGCAGTGTATAGTTTGAAGAAGTTCCCGAGTTTTTAAATGTTTCAGTTTAGATTAATAATAATAATAATAATAATGAATTTATTGCATCCTTAGAAATAATTTCCATTGGTTGACAGCAATAAAATACATATAAAACTAAAGTAAAAGTAAAATGTCAGTTATTGTTACATGTATTTCTGATTTCAAATATTTTGTATAAGTATTCACCAACTTGTCTTATTATTAATTACGTCTTCTCTTGAACTCATAATATATTTAAATTTTTGGTCATCACTTTTCAATTCTTCTGGAATATTGATATTATTAAATAACTTTTGTCTTTCTTTTTGGTACATGTACCTAAGACATTCCATGAAGAAATGTTATTCATTTTCAATTTTCTGTCTTCTAAAGGTATCTCTCTTCTTTCTCTCAAAAACGAATAAAATGTTTACACATAGACCCTACAGTGTACCTCAGACAACCAATAAACAGACTGGCAACACTGTTTAAGGTGTTAATCGGCTTAATTCTATATGCTATGTGTGATTTGCTTTGTTGTATCGGCATAGACATCGTCAAAGTTTATCGAACACCAGATATTCTGCACACTTTGCGTTTCTTCAGAAATTGCGTATTTCTTCGTAAAGCATATCCGGACATTTTTAAAACAATAGGAGATGCATTATGGACATTTTGACCTTTGCAGCTGTGTAAGGTTTTTTAGAATCAGCCAACATTTAGGCGAGTTACAAGTAACTGGATGTCTTAGTATATATCTCAAATAGTTTTTGAATATACAAAAAATGTATATTGAGCAACTTTGAAATGATATTTCTCGCTGTAACAGATTTTGTGTAAAGTTTCCGACATTTATTCAAGAAGAGCATATCGCAGCGTTTCAAGCGATTATACCACTTTGTGTGTTAACAGTTTTGTTTTTGTGTTCAGGGGTGTCAAAACCGATCGCTGATGTCATATATATAATATCTCTCAGCGTATTAGCGTAATCCGGTTAGCGGTATAAAAACTGGGGGGTGTTATTTTTGTCGCATTCAACTTCATAGTACACAATATAGATACACGTTGTTCATAACTATCCTCCTCAGATTCGCTGGTATTATTACCTCTATGGTGTGGTTCACTATGGTGTATTTCTGTATTTAACAATTTCTGTTTTTAACAATAGCAGAAATATCTCTCTTCTCAAAAAAAAAATAAAAATTATGTTTACACATACATGTACATGGTTTACAGTGCTTTTTCTTCACACTTTTGTCTTTCACTTTGTTGGATGCCGCCAATTTCTTGTATTTCACGACAGGAAGTTGAGCACATAAGTGAGATGTTTTAATAGTCATTGAACACGTTTTGAAAGCACTAAAATATGATACTGTTACAGTATATCCCCCTTTCCCCCACCCCTCGGTAATTTGATAGGTGTGCAATATTTGTGCCCACTGCCACTAGATATTTCATAGTTATACTAATTTATATATTAATACACTATAGAAACAGTTATTTATGAAAAGGGGGGATAATTGATAGGGTTGACCTTAGGATATGATTTCATAGAGGATGCAACGAATGATGATTCACTTATTTTCAATTTCTGTGTCAGCAGAGCATACATGTAACACTTGTGTTTGAAATCTGACAGTAGAATATTTTATATGGTTGGCAGACTATAGTGTGTCTGCCATTGTAGATATTATTATCACGACCACAAACCTGTTCTCTTGAGTTTTATAGTTCTATTAGTAGCACTTATGTTTACTTACATCACTGTGGTATTTCCATGGTGAAAATAAGTAATATAACAATTACACTTCTATTGGTGATGCACGTCTCATAGATCATGTACGGTATTCATAAATTTCAATTCTATTACCTGATGGAATAACATTGGGACCTTATTTCCAGGATGATGACAGCTACTGTTGATGATTGTGATTGGCTTAGCTCACACTGATGAAACTTGGTACTTACAATGGACGTTATGGGACCTTGATGCACATTATTTTGCTTTTCTAATCAGATTCAAAATGGCTGACTGGTGGCCTTTTTGTTTTAATGAATGTAGTTCCAGATCCATATATCTGACATGCCTTTACCAATCATGTACACATGATACACCATGTCACGCACATGCAGGTGTATTTGTTTGACAATCAGATTCAAGATGACTGAATGGTGGTCATTTTAATGTTAACAATTTATCAAAATCAAGCATTTCTACCATTCATATATTTGTTAATACTGTTTCAGAACCATATTTTGTGACATGCTTTACAACTACATTTTACATTATTCATCATGTCACACATATTAACATTTGTTTAAGTTATGATTCAGTATGGCTGACACATTTCAGTTTTGTTTACTATTGAATAACAGGAACTTTTTATGTCATGACTAATCATGACTTGTTTCTTAAGGAATGCTATTTTTTATATTATATACAGTGATGGTGCTGACAGTGGTGTACTCATTGTAATATGAAAAATAATTAATTTTCTCAAATTTAGAATATTCCGTAGAATGGAAAATATTCTGTGTTTAATTTGAGCAGATTTGACATTGCAGAGAAATTAATTAGGTTTTAAAATCACTACATTATGAAGGAATCAATTCAATTTATTGTTAAATTTGAATATTCACTGGGGTTTTATTTAATGTACAGAATTAGCTATCAGTGAAATAAGCAAAAATAAACCTCTCTACAGGAGCCACCATGCACTACAACATCTATACATATTGATTTCCTGTTTTCATTTCTATTATGATTTGTCAATTTAAACAACATTGTGAGATTTATACTAGTATGTTCTGCTTCATTTGCCAACAACGAACTAAATATCAGATCAGCTTTAATGTCAGTTCATGTCTGCATGTGTTATATGATATATGGTTGTTTATTGTTCTTGTGCCCAAGCCATATTAGAACTATATAAACAGCCTGCAAAGCTGTTCTGTTTTTTCTTGCAGGTATATAGCATAGACTATATATTTTATATAGTTCCTGATTCCCACTAATGGTGGTATATTTGGTGCTTGTATAGAGGCTCACTATTTTTCAGCTCTGCCGTCATAAAAAAAAATCATTGCATCAACTCCACTGTTATCTATCGATATGTATATTACCGGTAGTGTGTATCTTTGTTTTAATTCTGACATCCTAATATCAATCAAATCAGTATGAATCAGCAAGCGCTCATCATATTTTTTCACTAGTTTTAGAGATTGTGAATGAGGTACATGTATATATAAACTCAACCTGATCATTAAATTTTTGTTTTGTTTTGTTTTGTTAATTCAAGTAGCCATTGTAAAAGAAAAAAACAAGTTACACACATTAGCTGTGACTTTTCTGTTTCTTCTGTTATATTTTACATTTTTCAAGAACACAATTGTGTTATTACAGTATTGCATTAATTATTGCATTGATCACATGCAGGTTGCAACTAACATAACGTCAATTTTTAGTTAGTGTGAGTTATTAGCTTTTATAAAGTATATAGTAAGATATGGTTTAAAACATAAAAAAAATAAAATAAAAAGTGTGTATTTTACTTCCAGGAAACCTCTGTCACAGCCATATTAAATAAAATTAATTGTTCTTCTTTCACTAGGGTTTCACAATGGCGGCATCTTGGTGTGAAGAAACACAGGATCTTGGTGATGTACCATGTATTGGAGTGACATGTCCTCTTCCTCTTGTTGATATATGTGCCAGTATCATTGTACCAAATGTCAAAGCTGTTCAGTACGCTGTAGAAAACATACCGCGAGAAGTAAACTTCAGTCTACTTCGCATGGCCGTTCTTCATGAACACTTTGATTCTGTTAAGTTTCTCTCAGTACACTGGCCGTTTCCGCTACTTGATTTCAAATGTTTACTCCATGGGTACAGTTTGGTGCCATTTGAAAAGCTGTTCTCTGCTGAAAAGTCAACTCTGCCAAACAGACTTGCTGCATCATTAGCTACGTGGTTACCTGAGATGAGACAACATTCTAACATCCAGTGTCTAGACTTGTCATCCATTGATACTGGTAAGTTATGTTTATTAGTCCCCTTTCGGACGAGGTCCGAAAACGGGTACTTATAATTCGGTCTCCGACCATCTGTGCGTCCGTCTGGAGTCGTATCTCAGAATCCCTTGGACCGATTCCGTTCATTCTTTGCATGTGCCTAGTACTTTATGTGGTACATATGCACATGCAGTGGTTTAGCGATTCAATTCAAAATGGCCGACTGGCGGCCATCTTGTTTTTTGAAAATGTTGTATTTTGGACATGCTTTGTCAGTTTTCATTCAAACTTGGTACATAGATTATACATGTTAGGATACATGTCCATGACGATTTATTTCACAATTGGATCAAAGATGGCCGAGTGGCAGCCATCTTGTTTTTGAAAATGTCGTATTTTGGACATGCTTTGTCAGTTTTCATTCAAATTTAGTACATAGATCATATATGTTAGGATACATTTCCCTGACTGTCCGTGAGTTCCTGTGTCTGTCTGTCCGTCCGTCCGTGTGTCAGTCTGTCCAGAGTCATATTTCAGAATCCTGTGGAATGATTCCGTTCATTCTTTGCATGTGCCTAGTAACTTGTGTGGGACATATGCACATGCAGTGGTTTAGTGATTTGATTCAAAATGGCTGACTGGCAGCCATCTTGTTTTTTGAAAATGGTTGTATTTTGGACATGCTTTGTCTGTTGTCATTCGAACTTGGTACATAGATTATACCCGTTAGGATACATGTCCATGACAATTTATTTCACAATTGGATCAAAGATAGTCGACTGGCAGGCATCTTGTTTTTTTTTTCTTGGACGTGCTCTGTCAGATTTCATTCAATTTTGGCACATACATGTACTTTATACATGTTAGGATGCATGTCCATGACAATTTGTTTCAAAATTTGGTCAAGGATGGTCAATTGACAGCCATCTGACTTTTTTGCCTTACTACTATATTTCCACAATTTACGTACCATTTTCATTCGTATTTGGCACATACATCATACATATCAGTGTGTTTCATAATCAGATCAAAGATGGCTGAATAACGGCTGTTTTTATTTTTGGTCATATTACTACTACACGGAACACGTGTTTTGATGTAAATAAACAATCTGTTGTTTACGCCACTTGGAACTAAAGTTTCAAGGACACGCTCGCCACAACCCCTCTGCTTTATTATGATGAGCACAAAGAGAACTTTCAAAAATTTAACGGGGACTGTATCATTTTCAATGACTTGTTTTTTCTGTTAAGATAGAAGCCTACTCATGATTTCAAATACCCAGAATTTATTCATTTTCTTTCATTTGAGGGTCACCAGCTTAATTTTCGAGAAAATGATGGTTGTATTTTAGTGGATACAATGTAGTGACCATTTTGGCAGCATTATAATGCTTCTACCATAGGTTCCTACATGTATGGCAGAGATTGTAGGCTGGTGGCGTAGGCTGAACAAATGATATATTGTTAATGAAATGGTACTTTTTAATGTTTTAAAAAGTGGCAAAAAATGCACATTGTGCTCTATCTGAATTGTTCTAAAAATTTCTCAAAATATATCAGTGTAACACTCAAAAGAATACTATTTCATGGTGCCATGAGACAATAGCTTCACAATTTTACACAATAAACTAATGAACAAGTTGTCATGCAATTTATGACCAACTTTCGCAAAAATTATGAGTAGGCCTCTACCTTATGTGGATGTGGGGACTTATGTTTTGACCCTTGTGCATTCGTCCATGCATGTGTCTGGACCAATCATAACCAAACTTTACACATACATCATACATGACATTATACATATGCGCGTCAAGATTCAAGATGGCCGAATGTCGGCCATTTTTGTGCTGAAAAATCATCAAAATCAAGCATTTATGGATGGATTTTAAACTTGGTACTTATGTTGGACATTGTGGGGCCTTTATGCACATCATTTTATTTTTCAGATCCAATTTAAAATAGCCGACTGGTGGCCATTTTGTTTAATGAATGTAGTGCCATATCTCTGCTATGCTTTGACTGATTGGGTTCAAATTTGATATATCCATTATACATTAAAAAGGCGTAAAGCAATTTTTTGTCTATTCTTTATTGCTGTGATGTCAAACATTTATAGGAGAAAGTCATTTTGATTCTTTAGATTTTTGAAGTTTATGAAACATTTTAAAAATTGCATGAATTTTCAATAAACAAATAGTTTCTGCAGTCGTTGCATAATGGCCAAAGCTGTTAAAACAGAGTGCAAAGTTGTGCAAAGCGATTGCAAAGTTGGTAGATTTGTGTGTATGTTTGAAGTAAGTTGTTTTCATATCGAACCGTGACGTTATCGAACCGTGACGTTATCGAACCGTGACGTTATCGAACCGTGACGTTATCGAACCGTGACGTTATCGAACCGTGACGTTATACAGTAGAAATAATGAATAAAATGCAAGTGAAAGCCATGTAGGCAATTTTGTTCCATAATGCTGCTCCAGAACAATATACTTGTTTGACGATCTTATACAAGATGTCAATCATTTTAATGTTAAAAATCTTCGTAATCAAGCACCAGCTTCTGGATCCATATGTTTATGTTCCAACTATATTACTATAAACAAAACTATATACATTATGTATCTTAAATTTAATAACTAATGGGGACTGTGCCATGCATGGCTTGTTTTATTTTAACTTGGAATTTATTTTCATTATTTTTGCTGAAGAATTGAATCAGTGAAATTAAAATCCATCAAAAATGCACTTTTTCCTATAATTACATTCAACTCAGTGAAAAATCAGTGAAAATAAACTTCATACAAAACAACCAAAATATCTGATCAGCAAAATTAATTCCAGCGAAAGTAAAGTATTTTACAGTATTCTGTTTCTACCTTGTTCACTCTAGATCCTGATGGTACTTGTTCGTTTGCACAGGCTAGTATTAATTCCCTTGGTGTGTGTGAAGAGGATGTAGAACTCTTAGTTGGACAGATATTATGCAGACAAATACCATTCTTGTCTGAACCAAAAGGTGAGTTAATCATTGAATGTACTGGTGACTGGAGGAGAATATTAATTATTATTACATATGCCAAGATATTCAGGTCACACGTTCCTTACCAATAGACAGAAATTACCAGAATTCCCATAGATTCCTTTTGTTGACTCCCATGTGCGAAGCACAAAAAGGGAGTCTTTGCAGTAAGTGTGCCTGTCTGTGTGTCTGTCTGTGTGTTCCACTGATATTTCAGGAACCATACATTGATTTTTGATTAAACTTGGTGCATAGATGCTCTGGGCCAATGCGCAGATTTGATTAGGTTTTGGTAAAAATCTATGCATATTAATTACCTAATTTGCATGATAATTAGCTAATTTTTAGCTGTTCTATGATTCCACTGATATCTAAAGAACCACTCATTGGATTTTGATGAAACTTGGCACATAGATGCTCTGAACTAATGCGCAGATTTGATTAATTTTGGGTAAAAATCTATGCAATATTAATTACCTAATGTGCATAATGATTAATCAATTTTTGGCTTTTTCACTGATATTTCGAGTACTAATCATCACATTTCAATAAAACTTGGTACATAGATATCGTAGGACACTGCACAGACCTGATAGTTTTTAGGGTAATTTGCATAATTAATAAATTTTCAGCTTTTGATATTTTAAGTAGTAATCATCACATTTCAATAAAACTTGGTACATAGATGTCATAGGACACTGCACAGACCTGATAGTTTTTAGTGTAATATCAGTACATATTAATTACCTAATTTGCATAATTAATTAATTTTCAGCTTTTGATATTTCAAGTAGTAATCATCACATTTCAATGAACTTGGTACATAGTTACTTAAAGACTGTGCAGAGACCTGATTAGTTATGGGGTAAATATTTGTGCATATTAATCACATTATTAGCATAATTAGTTAATTTTCAACTTT